ATAAAATATTTCGTAAAAGATAATTTTTCGTTAAATAATTTTTAATACTTCTTCCTTTTTTTTTTGGTTTTTTTTTTTGGATATAAGTAACACGTGTTTTGGCGGTAATTGTGAGAACGCAAATATATACGTGAACTGTAAAAATTTGAGTATAATGTGAAAATATATATATATATATATATATCGTAACGTAATACGAAATGTAAATTGTATTAAAAATAAATGAAATAAAAGGGAATCAATCTGTCAATAGATTGACTTCTGTAAGGCACGCGACTTTGAATGAACTGGAGGGGCTGGTGTCGGGTCGCTTTTTACTGTTCAATTGAATAAAACGTACCACAATCTGACAAAACATAACAAGTATTTTTTGCCATATAAGAAAGGCACATAGTTTTCAATAACCGGTATTGTGATTTGGTAGCATTTAATTCTTCAGATGAGAATAACCTTAATCGTAATCGATAGCAATTTGAATTGTAACTATTGTTAATGCAATAATGGATCGAAAACGTGTTTATTCATTGCCAGGTATAACTCCCTTAAAAAAACTCTTTTGTGATAATTCAATACTCTGTGAAAAAGATTTCATGTCTATAGCAGTGGTTTCAGCAGCTTTTTAGAAAAAAAGAAAAAAAGAAAAGAATAATTCAAAAAGCAGCTTTCAATAATGCAGCTTCTATTAACACATCATTATATATCAATTATCTATTCCTTTAAGATCTAAATATTTATAAATCATTAATCCTGTGTAAAATCTAAATGAATTTCCTTAAACGCATTCGTAAAATCGTCGTCGTAGCAAAAGAAGTTTTTCCCCGGTGACGAAAAAAGAAAAAAAAAAAAAGAATAAAAAGAAAAAGAAAAAAAAACGGTAGGTATAAAATGTTTCAGCCCATGGTACGCGTTCACGTGGCTGGCAACGCAGGTACGATCGAGTGGCGATTTTTCAAAGAACGAAAATAGGAAGAAGAAAAAAAGAGGATAGTAAACGAAGAAGAAGAAGAAAAAAAAACACACACGCACAAAAATCAGGGAAAGAAATGTGGGAGGAAGGAAATAAAATAATAAAAAAAAAAAAAAAAAAAAAGAGTAAATAAAAATAAAAATATAAAAATATAAAAAAAACCTAGAGAGGAAGAAGAAATGGAGGTAGAAGAAAAAGAAGGAAAAGAAGAAGGAAAAGTAAACAAAAAAAAAACGAAAAAACGAAAAAAACGAAAAAACGGAAAAGAAAAAAAAAAGAAAAAGAAAAAGGTAGACAGGAAACGAGTCTTTCGGTGATGGTGGTCTGTGCGCGAACCCGATGAGTAGAAACTTCTATCGTAGCTGCTCGCCCGTGGTCGGACGAGCGAGATTATTTGGATCCTGAAGAATGGTAACAATCGAGCTTTGTAATCGGTCCTCCAAACGATAAAGTCTTTGTTGGCCACCCTTCCGGCACCACCACCACCACCACCACCACCAGTACCACCAACCTCCTCTTCCTCCTCCTCCTCCTCCCTTCGGATCCCCCTACACTTACCCTCCTCTCTCCTGATTTCTACCCCATTTCTCCTCTCTCTCTCTCTCTCTCTCTCTCTTACTTTCACTCACTCATTTCTCTTGCCCGTACACAATCTCCCTTTCTCTCATTATTCGAGCTCTAAGAGGAGGCCCCAATGGTATCACCTGTTGGCAATTGCACGCCCGCGAATTCTTCCGCGCTCGTTGTTTTCCCTTTCGACCGACTCTTCTATCCCTTTTCTTTCTTTCTTTCTTTCTCTCTCTTTTTCTTTTTTTCTTTTTCCCCCCTTGCTCCCTTCCTTCCTCCCTCTCTTTCTTTCTTTCTTTCTTTCTTTTTACTTCTTCTTTTCTTTTTTCTTTAAACTTCCAAGTTCGACCACCGAACGAATAAACGAATGGACGGATAGGTAGGTGGGTGGATGGATGGATGGATGGATGGACAGACACGATGGAATAAGAGGAAAAAGGGGGAAGGTTGACTGTTACGACGAAAACGCGGTTAATGGGTCGGCAATAATGGGATTTAACAATAGCAAGGTGTTTGTGTCATTATATTATTACGTCACTTTGTCTTACTCGATTCTCGTTTCGCTTTTAAAAATCTCTTCTTTCTTTTATACGTAGACTGTGTTTATGTATATGTATATAAGTGTGTAATTTTACGCATAAGAAGAATGATTGTATTTTCTAGCTAATCAAATCTTCGACAAAGAACGAATTTAAATTGATAAACATATATAATATATATATATATAGTATACTTACTAACTTGATCGCGTAATCATCGATCGATCAAATTAATCACTTATCAAATACATACATACATACGTATACATATATATCTAAATATCGAAGAAAATTGTCGAGTCCGTTTCCGGTATAAGCGGGAATGAGAACGAACGGTTCTCTCGCAAACGAACGAACGAACGAAACGGTTGTGTGTTTGCATGCATGGAAGGAGATCGATCGTATCGTTTACGATTCTGGTTTTCGAGTGCGTTTTATAGTAGGACACAATGAGCTTTCTCGTGTCGCTCACACACGTTCGATACAAACTATACATAAGTATATATATATACCTAGTGTGTACGTGTACACATTCTGTATATCGTACTTCGAGATGGAGATAGGCGTAATACGTGAACGCAAGTAGGATAGAAATACAGAATGTGTGATATATATATACATATATATATATATAGATAGGTGCACGCGCGCGCGAACTTGCTAACTCTCCTGTATATACGTTCGCCTTGTACAAGAGCAGTGCGCCATCGAGTATCACAAACATTGATTTGAATCACAAAGACCGCCCGCGGTATTTCCATTGTCGGACCCCGACTTATTGTACAATTTCTCTCTCTCTCTCTCTCTCTTTCTTTCTTTCTTTCTTTCTCTCTTGTGCTCTCTTTCACTCTTTTCCTTTCTTCTCTATCTGTATGACCTCTCTCTCTCTCTCTCTCTCTCTTTTTCTTTTTCTCCGTTATTCCTACTCTCCACCTCTCAATCCGCTCTATCTTTTTTCAACAGTAACGACCTATCAATCCACTTATTCCGCACGGTTTATGTGCCACTTGTGGCATTTCGACTTAATGTCACCGCATCGTGTGTCGCAGTCAAATCCAAATAATAATTCGCTGAAAGAATCGTCAATGATATACCTACCCCAACCCCTCGTGTGTGTGTGTGTATGTATGTATATGTGTTTTTATACATCAATTTTTCTTTTAAGTATATTGTATCTTATTAGTTAGGATGATAGAGTATTGAGATAATAAATCGTTGATTATGAATATGCAAAAATGTTTGTAATTCTATTTGATTGTCGAATCAAAACGATATTGATTGATAAACTATTATTTATTCATTTTTGTTTAAATTATTATTATAGAAAATAATTTGTCGATTGAACAAGGTAGAATGTTTCTTTTTTCTTTCTTTCTTTCTTTTTTTTGAGGGGAGGAGGAAAGAATTTCGTTCGAATTCGATTTAAAGATAATTTGATGGATAATATTATGGTTTAAACGATTTAAATAAAAGTATTGGAATTCGTTTGAAGATTAATCGAAATCTGCGATGCGACATATCGCAGAAGAAAACCGGCTATCGTATCGAGAAATCAACGATGAGTCTTGTATCAGACATACAATTAAAAAAAAAAATTAAAAATGAGATTAACGTTGTCGTTTGACTTATCGTTCGATGCCATTTTTCGCATGTTAATCAATAATATTAATCGAATATAAAATACACGTGAAAAACCCGATAGACGATGAATTAATAAGAAAAACAATGAGTAAGTCTCTTGGAGATCTTAAAAAATGATTATTTATCGATATTTTGTTTATAAATTAAGGTTTGTCATAGATTCGGATTTGTATTTAACTGTTATATCTATATATATATATACATTACAGGATTATTTTTCTTTAAAGTGTCTTTATTATTTGTAACTCGTTCTCTCTTTTTCTTTCTCTCTCTCTCTCTCTCTCTCTCTCTCTCTCTTTGTATTTTTCTCTTTCGTTCACTCTTCTCGCGGCGGCAACAGGTCCTACGCGCAGGAACTCGCTTAAAACTCTGTCGCATAGTCGATCGAAGCTTCTTTCAATTTTCTTGAAAGAGTAAGGGAATAAAGAATAAGAAGATGAATTATAGAACAAACGATTTAAATATGTTATTCGAGTACATTGACAATACGCTCTTCTATTGTTATCCTTTTTTTTTCCTTTCAAGCACACAATTTCGATTAACGCGCACAACTCACGCGTTTAAACATTTTCTATTACCAAATTAATTTATGTTATCAAATATATATATATATATATATATATATATATATATTAAAGAAAGAAATATAATTTTACTTTTCTTAATGCTCGTTTATAAATTTTACACACCTCTACTTTTCTTTTTTTTTTTCTTTTTTATTCTTAATTCTACACACAGGTTCGTTATTAATATCGATTATAATTCGAAATTACGTGCAATTTAATATAATTCTTTCGTTCGTTGTTAATGAAAAAAATTCAGATCGGTATCTCGTCGTTATTTCAGATAAGGTAATCCAATGATACGAATCATAAAATCCGTCTGCGTGTTCTTTATAGTAATAACACGACTTTATTACAATAATACTTCGAAACAATTGTTTATAAAATTTTTTTATAGAAACAAATTTATTCTGCTATAAACAATAATATAAATTTTTTTACGTGTAATATTTTTCTTCTTCGGTTCACGTATAGGTCAGTGTTTTCATTCGAACTGTTACATCTCTACAATAACACACTTTGTAAAATTGAATATTAAATATCTTTTGAACATTTCCAAATTTTTCTTCATAAAGTTAACGGATCGATTAGAAACAAAGGAACTAAAGTATACAAATCACACACAAAATAAACAAAATATATTATTTAAGAAATATAATTAATTCGGAGTCATAATTGAGGGTGGTAAAGCACTTAACCAATGATCACACGATATCAATAAAGGTATTAAATCGTGCCCACGCATACGAGGTCGTCTTCGTCGTCAGCGTCGCCGTTTTCGCCGTCCTCATCGAAGAAGAAGAAGAAGAAGATGAAGAATAAAAATAAAAATAAAAATAAAAATAAATATAAAAATAAAAAGTATTATAAAATAAGAAAAAAGAAAGAGAGAAGAAAACGAAGCAAGACCGACGGGTAGCCGATCTCGTGGCGCGCACAGTGGCAAGAAGAAGATAGGGGAAGTTCATATGACGATGAGTGAGTGAGAGAGAGAGGGAGAGAGAGAGAGTGAATAAGGTTGTGAATAAGAGGTGGGGGTAGCATAAGAGGGAAGGTTCAGCTTGCTCCGTAGAGGTCGCTAGGGAGGTCGGTATGAACCCGCCCACTAGAACGGAGATATAGGAGCCGATTGGTCGAGTGGAATGATGGCAGGCGAGCGTGCCAATCGATAGCCGTCGGTAGACTCGCTCCTTCGGCTATGGTCGCGTCGATCCTGCAGGAGTGGGGATATCCTCGCGTACTGGTGGGAGAGAACCGCACGGTGGGGCCCAAGCTGCCAAACCGTTCTGCCTAAGGGTAGGGGGAGAAAACCGAGTAGTGGTGGAAGTAGCAGCCGCCTTGGCAGGAAGTGAGCCCCGAGTGTTAGAGCCCAAGGCGAAACTTCGAATGCTCAGATGGTTCTGTCCTTTCGAAGAGAACGGTGGTCAATCTCTTCTTAACTTGTGTACCTTAGGACGTGTTAGAGTTACCGAAGAAAATACGTGTGCCTGCATCCATTCACGCGCATTTCCTATACGTATCGTAAACGGATATACGGATTAGTAATACGCATAAGAAAGTAGAGGGAGGAGGTGTAGGAGGACAAAAGTGGAGGGGAAAGAAGAAGTAGTCTCTATTTGTCTCTCAGATTGGTGATCATTCTAGACTGTTAACAGTAGTAGAATCATTCGGTATCGAGGTGTCAACAACAACGGATCGTTCTCGTGTCGTGAGTACAATTAATAAATTCAACGTGTTGTTTCATTTTGGTGTTATAAATATTAGTGACATTAGATTTCTTATTAAATACGAGAACGCTAGCGAGTGATATAATAAAACTTTATGGAAGATTATTATTATTATTAGAAAACAAGTTTATCGCACGAACGTGATTTTTTCGCGCGCGCGTTTATCCGTATTAATAGTGTGCATTATTATATTTTGTGAGTATTTGTGATTTTATCGAATGCAAACTTCTTATACTGAATCATATATATACTATTCATGTGTTTGATTATCGTTATTAAAAGAACATAGACTCTTAGTGAGATTCGATTTCAAAGAGAAGAAGAAAAAGAAGAAGAAGAAGGGTAGTGAACGAAACCGCGCTTCTAAGATCTGATCGGTAAAGTGTCTCGTCGAGGCATTCTTTGACGTAATACGGTTTAAGAAAACGGCGACAAACTGTACGGCCACAGGGAGGACGACATGCTAACGATGGAGTCGGACCTGAAGGGCGGTAGCCTGCATGGTCAAATGCCACCACATCCGCATCAAGGTGTATCACCGATGGGCCATCATACCGGTGTTTCACCTTACGGAACTCTTAGTTCCATAGTGCATAGTCCAGCTTTATCTGGAAGCCCACCGAGCAGCAGCAACTTAGGATTAAGTTTGCAACATCAACATTACCATGCTTCGATGCAAGCTGCAGTGCAACAGCAACAACAGCATCAACAGCAACAACAACAACAACAACAACAACAGCAACAGCAGCAGCAGCAGCAGCAACAACAAAGCATGCATCACCCTCTAGCTGCTCAACAAAGTGCTGCACAACAGCAGCACCATCCTCACCAACAGCCCCAACCACAACAGCAGCAAGCCCAACAGCAGCACCACCAGGCTTCAAATAATAATAATAATACGAATAAGCCTCCAACCGGTGACCGTGTAAAAAGGCCGATGAATGCATTTATGGTCTGGTCCCGTGGCCAACGACGCAAGATGGCCCAAGAAAATCCAAAAATGCATAATTCCGAGATTTCCAAACGTTTAGGCGCCGAATGGAAATTACTTAGCGAAAGCGAAAAGCGCCCATTTATTGATGAAGCTAAACGATTGCGCGCGGTGCACATGAAAGAGCACCCAGATTACAAGTATCGTCCAAGAAGAAAGACGAAGACTTTAATGAAGAAAGATAAGTATCCGATCAGTGGCTCCGTCGGTGCAGTCGGAGTCAATGTTAATAGCATCCTCGGCGTTGATCAACGACAAGTTGGCAGTGCCGGTGGACCCCAACAAGGGCAAATATCTCGCGACGTTTATCAAATGGCGAACGGATATATGCCAAATGGTTATATGATGCACGATCCGGCGGCTTCGTATCAACAACACGTTGTATACGGAAATCCAATGAGCGGAGCGGCGGCTGCTGGATATCCCAGATACGATATGGGACATCACATGGGTAATGGTAGTCCACCCATGAACCCAAATTACATTAATGGATATGGTGGTTATCCTGGAAGTACGGTGCCCGGCGGCTCACCTTCACCGTACCATCAACCCCAATCAGGATCTCAAATGTCGAGCCATAGTCCCAGTGGCAGCAGTATAAAATCTGAGCCGACGAGTCCTGCAAGTGCGGGAATACACACTCCCACGCCAACAAACGGGCCAATTCCCGCTAATGCAACGGCTGCTCCACAACAACAGCAGCAAGCGCAAGCTGCCGCCGCAGTTAAACGCGAATATATGGCTCAACAAAGCCACCAGACTCATCAATCTCCAGGAGATCTTAGGCAGATGATATCCATGTATCTGCCCCAAGGAGTCGACCAGGGTGTTGGTGGTCAACATGGTGCTGGAGTCTACCCGTCTGGACCATCACCAGATTCTTTGGCGCAACATCATTCAATACCGCCAATCAATCATATGTAAGTATTTATGATCATATTTATATGCATACGTATAATTTTATCCTTCTCTTGTTAATCTTCTATTTTTCGTCCTGAAAATCCTTCGAATGATCGTTCTAAGACAAAAAATATATTTAATTACTTATAAACGTATGGTGTAAATGTGTTTTATCGAATCATGTTTCAATGTCTCTCTGTAATTCTTATTCGTGAACGATCATTCGATAGATCGCTTCGATAGAAGTTCCTCAAAGTCTTCTATCAGCTTTTTCCTTAATTATTTCTCTGTCGCTTGTTTTTAATCTTAATAATGCCACCACTTCTATTGCAACCACACCTCCACTTCTGGACCTTACGATCGATCCTACGCACTACTAATCGTTAAATTATTTTATTTATTTGCCTCGCTATATTATATTATTATCTTCTTTAATTATTATATATCCATTAAATTTATTGCTACGCAGCTTTGGTTTATTATAAAGTTAACTGGAAAAAAAAAGCAAATTATTATAATAAGTTTTGATTATGTAAATATTTTATATTCTTTCTCTTTCTCTCTCTCTCTGTTACTCTCTCTCTCTCCTCCTTTTTATTACAATTTTGTATTTTATAATTTGAATTTTTCATCATTCATATTTCTAACGTGCTCGATAAAACGCGTGTGAAATTAAAACTCGGTTTACGTGTTGATTATTCTCATTTAGATTGTTGTAAAGATTAAAATATAAATTTTTTTTAAAATAAAAACGATATCGGTGAGAAGGATTATTCCAACTGCTTGAAAAAGAACAAAAATATATAATCGATAATATATAATATACGTGATAGTGATTCGATTCGTTGTTGAAAAGGTCCAGAACGTGATCATTCCTTTCCTTATCTAATCATTTTTCAAAAATCTCTTTGTATACGTTATGTAGAATTATCGCACTCTAGCATGATGTGTGTGTATAATCATAGGTTGAGTCAAGGAACACGATACATTGGCCTTTCGTTTTTTTTTCTTTATGATTTTATTCGTACTTTTTTTCCCCCATTTTTTGTTATTTTGACCCTTGATTATCGTTCATACGTTCATTTCATTTACAATTTCATTTAGTTTCACGTTTCCCAAAGAAAAATTGTGCCTCGACAATTTTCCTTCTTCGTTTTCTTCTACTTCTACTTCTACTTCTTCTTCTTCTTCTAATCGCGGAATCGCACGAAAGAGTTCACAACATTTATTTATGCACGAAAACCTGCTTTCTTATCATCTATGTTTTTGAACGAACTGAAAAACGTTTTATCGTTCTAACTATAGAAAAAGCCGTTTTCGTAAACAACGAACATTTCGAACGATAGAAAGCAAATACTCGAGCAGTTTTATTATTTTTTTTAATTTTTTTTTTAGTTCTTTCTCCCTCCCCCTCCCCTAAATAAACGATAAACAATATGATATAAGACAACGGTCGAGAAGAAGTGAGATAATAAAATAAAAATTTATAAATGATCTCTCTCGCGGCGCGCGTAAAAAATAAAAAAAAGTAAAAAGTAATAAAAATCACACGGCCATCGCGACAATTTCTTCTGACTCATCCTACAAAATTTTTCTTCAAATATATATATATATAAATATATTAAAAAAAGGAAAAAGAATAAATGAAAAAGAGGTTGTTACATAAGAATATAAAGTCTCTTTTTTTTAATTATATTTTTTTTTTCGTTAAAATCTTTAGAGTAGGTATAATAAATATATAAAAAAAAAAAAAAGATAAAAAAATATATGATCTCTCTTAGGAAAGAAAGAGAAAGAGATATTAAGATGCATCGTTGCAGTATAAGGAATTCTTCTTTGAACGATACTAACGCCACGCGATATCGAAAGAAAAATAAATAAATAAAAAGAAAGAAAAAAGAAAAGACAAAAACAATAATCGTGTGATACAAGCACAATTCGAGAACCGACGGGTGCACGATCCGTATGCGTTAAATATATACTATTTTATTGGTAGTACATATTTGTATATACGTAAATACACGTAATCATTAATACACTATTCACCATACACGAAACCCTAACGCGCCACCACTTTGATGCTATTAGAAAATATATAGAAGAGAAAAAAAAAATCTTTGAATGTGGTTCTATAGAGGTTGGGAAAAAGGTATGGGGTAAAGGGTAAGAAAAAGAACTTGTTCTTCTTCACCGTCGATCCCCAAACACAGCATCGTCAACTTTACAGGAATGGGAAAGTGTGAATTTTGCATTTACGGCCCGTTGATCTTTTGTTTTCTCTTCTTTTTGTTTCTTTTTCCAACGAGAGAATGGGGTTGTTGGTCGCACGTTTCTCGGTTTTTTTTGTTTTTGTTTTCTTCGATATCGCTCTCGAAAGTGAAAAAAAGAAAGAAAAACTGTGATTAAGTGGGACTGTTTAATTAAAGGAAGAGAAGACAGAGGAAGAAGGAGGTGGATGCTACCGTGTTATATATGAAAAGTGAAGAAAACGGTGTTTAAAGGATTTGCAGTTAACGGAAGAAGGAAGGCATCGATTTTTGTTAAAATATTTCGAATCAAAGTATCGATCACCCTTGCTTGCACATGCATCTCTATAGTTCTCTTTCTTATATATATAATATTATATAAAAATATTATATATTTATATTTAAATATATATATATATATCCTAATCGGGATTCTATAATTTTTATATTTTCATTTAATTACACAGAGATTACATATTGTCTCTTTTTCATTGATTCTTTTTTCATTATTATCTCTCATTATAATTGGCATAATTGAAAATGTAATATTTATTCGTGACTTCGTATACTTCCATAGGACTTATCGAGCGAGCATTGCTCCGTATCATTATGATCGACGGGAACATTTACAACAACGTGGAATTCTTCCTACGCTAGAAATTTAAGTTTTAATTTCTACCACACACATACCTACACACATCACCATCTCACCACTACCACGTTTGAAACACATAAGAAGAAGTACTACTAGCCCATCCGAAGCCATTAATTAGCAGATAATTCAATTATTCAGAAAAATAGGTAAATCGACATATACTAATACATTTTCATATCCATCTGGTTGTTATTCAATAATTCATACGATTATTTTCTTATTTTATAAGATTAAGATAATTATAATAGCAATTTTGAAATTAGGTTTAAAATTGAAAAATTTAATTGACCATGAAAATTTTTTCTAATATCAATTCTTTTAAATATCTATAATAAATAAGCGAAAGAAAGAAAGAAGAGAAAATACACGTGCAAGTAAACAATATAAATAATTAATTAACGAATAAAAAACTAAAGAATGTGTGATAGATATACATATACATATATATATATACATACATACATACATACACACATACATTCAAACAAATACATCTTTATGTAATATATATGTATATATATGTTATATATTATATTATATATAATTATATATAGTATTTTTAGATCATACTTCTTGCATAACATAGATTTACGTGGTACACAACTCGATGCTGCAGCTGCCGGCTGTTTACTGTAATTATTATTCAGTTTGTGATAATAGCTCGAAATAAGTGTATCACGATAGTTCCTTATATACTTGTGTACATACATATATATATATACATATATATATATATATATGTATATATATATATGTATGTACACAAGTATATAAGGAACTATCGTGATACACTTATTTCGAGCTATTATCACAAACTGAATAATAATTACAGTAAACAGCCGGCAGCTGCAGCATCGAGTTGTGTACCACGTAAATCTATGTTATGCAAGAAGTATGATCTAAAAATACTATATATAATTATATATAATATAATATATAACATATATATACATATATATTACATAAAGATGTATTTGTTTGAATGTATGTGTGTATGTATGTATGTATGTATATATATATATGTATATGTATATCTATCACACATTCTTTAGTTTTTTATTCGTTAATTAATTATTTATATTGTTTACTTGCACGTGTATTTTCTCTTCTTTCTTTCTTTCGCTTATTTATTATAGATATTTAAAAGAATTGATATTAGAAAAAATTTTCATGGTCAATTAAATTTTTCAATTTTAAACCTAATTTCAAAATTGCTATTATAATTATCTTAATCTTATAAAATAAGAAAATAATCGTATGAATTATTGAATAACAACCAGATGGATATGAAAATGTATTAGTATATGTCGATTTACCTATTTTTCTGAATAATTGAATTATCTGCTAATTAATGGCTTCGGATGGGCTAGTAGTACTTCTTCTTATGTGTTTCAAACGTGGTAGTGGTGAGATGGTGATGTGTGTAGGTATGTGTGTGGTAGAAATTAAAACTTAAATTTCTAGCGTAGGAAGAATTCCACGTTGTTGTAAATGTTCCCGTCGATCATAATGATACGGAGCAATGCTCGCTCGATAAGTCCTATGGAAGTATACGAAGTCACGAATAAATATTACATTTTCAATTATGCCAATTATAATGAGAGATAATAATGAAAAAAGAATCAATGAAAAAGAGACAATATGTAATCTCTGTGTAATTAAATGAAAATATAAAAATTATAGAATCCCGATTAGGATATATATATATATATTTAAATATAAATATATAATATTTTTATATAATATTATATATATAAGAAAGAGAACTATAGAGATGCATGTGCAAGCAAGGGTGATCGATACTTTGATTCGAAATATTTTAACAAAAATCGATGCCTTCCTTCTTCCGTTAACTGCAAATCCTTTAAACACCGTTTTCTTCACTTTTCATATATAACACGGTAGCATCCACCTCCTTCTTCCTCTGTCTTCTCTTCCTTTAATTAAACAGTCCCACTTAATCACAGTTTTTCTTTCTTTTTTTCACTTTCGAGAGCGATATCGAAGAAAACAAAAACAAAAAAAACCGAGAAACGTGCGACCAACAACCCCATTCTCTCGTTGGAAAAAGAAACAAAAAGAAGAGAAAACAAAAGATCAACGGGCCGTAAATGCAAAATTCACACTTTCCCATTCCTGTAAAGTTGACGATGCTGTGTTTGGGGATCGACGGTGAAGAAGAACAAGTTCTTTTTCTTACCCTTTACCCCATACCTTTTTCCCAACCTCTATAGAACCACATTCAAAGATTTTTTTTTTCTCTTCTATATATTTTCTAATAGCATCAAAGTGGTGGCGCGTTAGGGTTTCGTGTATGGTGAATAGTGTATTAATGATTACGTGTATTTACGTATATACAAATATGTACTACCAATAAAATAGTATATATTTAACGCATACGGATCGTGCACCCGTCGGTTCTCGAATTGTGCTTGTATCACACGATTATTGTTTTTGTCTTTTCTTTTTTCTTTCTTTTTATTTATTTATTTTTCTTTCGATATCGCGTGGCGTTAGTATCGTTCAAAGAAGAATTCCTTATACTGCAACGATGCATCTTAATATCTCTTTCTCTTTCTTTCCTAAGAGAGATCATATATTTTTTTATCTTTTTTTTTTTTTTATATATTTATTATACCTACTCTAAAGATTTTAACGAAAAAAAAAATATAATTAAAAAAAAGAGACTTTATATTCTTATGTAACAACCTCTTTTTCATTTATTCTTTTTCCTTTTTTTAATATATTTATATATATATATATTTGAAGAAAAATTTTGTAGGATGAGTCAGAAGAAATTGTCGCGATGGCCGTGTGATTTTTATTACTTTTTACTTTTTTTTATTTTTTACGCGCGCCGCGAGAGAGATCATTTATAAATTTTTATTTTATTATCTCACTTCTTCTCGACCGTTGTCTTATATCATATTGTTTATCGTTTATTTAGGGGAGGGGGAGGGAGAAAGAACTAAAAAAAAAATTAAAAAAAATAATAAAACTGCTCGAGTATTTGCTTTCTATCGTTCGAAATGTTCGTTGTTTACGAAAACGGCTTTTTCTATAGTTAGAACGATAAAACGTTTTTCAGTTCGTTCAAAAACATAGATGATAAGAAAGCAGGTTTTCGTGCATAAATAAATGTTGTGAACTCTTTCGTGCGATTCCGCGATTAGAAGAAGAAGAAGAAGTAGAAGTAGAAGTAGAAGAAAACGAAGAAGGAAAATTGTCGAGGCACAATTTTTCTTTGGGAAACGTGAAACTAAATGAAATTGTAAATGAAATGAACGTATGAACGATAATCAAGGGTCAAAATAACAAAAAATGGGGGAAAAAAAGTACGAATAAAATCATAAAGAAAAAAAAACGAAAGGCCAATGTATCGTGTTCCTTGACTCAACCTATGATTATACACACACATCATGCTAGAGTGCGATAATTCTACATAACGTATACAAAGAGATTTTTGAAAAATGATTAGATAAGGAAAGGAATGATCACGTTCTGGACCTTTTCAACAACGAATCGAATCACTATCACGTATATTATATATTATCGATTATATATTTTTGTTCTTTTTCAAGCAGTTGGAATAATCCTTCTCACCGATATCGTTTTTATTTTAAAAAAAATTTATATTTTAATCTTTACAACAATCTAAATGAGAATAATCAACACGTAAACCGAGTTTTAATTTCACACGCGTTTTATCGAGCACGTTAGAAATATGAATGATGAAAAATTCAAATTATAAAATACAAAATTGTAATAAAAAGGAGGAGAGAGAGAGAGTAACAGAGAGAGAGAGAAAGAGAAAGAATATAAAATATTTACATAATCAAAACTTATTATAATAATTTGCTTTTTTTTTCCAGTTAACTTTATAATAAACCAAAGCTGCGTAGCAATAAATTTAATGGATATATAATAATTAAAGAAGATAATAATATAATATAGCGAGGCAAATAAATAAAATAATTTAACGATTAGTAGTGCGTAGGATCGATCGTAAGGTCCAGAAGTGGAGGTGTGGTTGCAATAGAAGTGGTGGCATTATTAAGATTAAAAACAAGCGACAGAGAAATAATTAAGGAAAAAGCTGATAGAAGACTTTGAGGAACTTCTATCGAAGCGATCTATCGAATGATCGTTCACGAATAAGAATTACAGAGAGACATTGAAACATGATTCGATAAAACACATTTACACCATACGTTTATAAGTAATTAAATATATTTTTTGTCTTAGAACGATCATTCGAAGGATTTTCAGGACGAAAAATAGAAGATTAACAAGAGAAGGATAAAATTATACGTATGCATATAAATATGATCATAAATACTTACATATGATTGATTGGCGGTATTGAATGATGTTGCGCCAAAGAATCTGGTGATGGTCCAGACGGGTAGACTCCAGCACCATGTTGACCACCAACACCCTGGTCGACTCCTTGGGGCAGATACATGGATATCATCTGCCTAAGATCTCCTGGAGATTGATGAGTCTGGTGGCTTTGTTGAGCCATATATTCGCGTTTAACTGCGGCGGCAGCTTGCGCTTGCTGCTGTTGTTGTGGAGCAGCCGTTGCATTAGCGGGAATTGGCCCGTTTGTTGGCGTGGGAGTGTGTATTCCCGCACTTGCAGGACTCGTCGGCTCAGATTTTATACTGCTGCCACTGGGACTATGGCTCGACATTTGAGATCCTGATTGGGGTTGATGGTACGGTGAAGGTGAGCCGCCGGGCACCGTACTTCCAGGATAACCACCATATCCATTAATGTAATTTGGGTTCATGGGTGGACTACCATTACCCATGTGATGTCCCATATCGTATCTGGGATATCCAGCAGCCGCCGCTCCGCTCATTGGATTTCCGTATACAACGTGTTGTTGATACGAAGCCGCCGGATCGTGCATCATATAACCATTTGGCATATATCCGTTCGCCATTTGATAAACGTCGCGAGATATTTGCCCTTGTTGGGGTCCACCGGCACTGCCAACTTGTCGTTGATCAACGCCGAGGATGCTATTAACATTGACTCCGACTGCACCGACGGAGCCACTGATCGGATACTTATCTTTCTTCATTAAAGTCTTCGTCTTTCTTCTTGGACGATACTTGTAATCTGGGTGCTCTTTCATGTGCACCGCGCGCAATCGTTTAGCTTCATCAATAAATGGGCGCTTTTCGCTTTCGCTAAGTAATTTCCATTCGGCGCCTAAACGTTTGGAAATCTCGGAATTATGCATTTTTGGATTTTCTTGGGCCATCTTGCGTCGTTGGCCACGGGACCAGACCATAAATGCATTCATCGGCCTTTTTACACGGTCACCGGTTGGAGGCTTATTCGTATTATTATTATTATTTGAAGCCTGGTGGTGCTGCTGTTGGGCTTGCTGCTGTTGTGGTTGGGGCTGTTGGTGAGGATGGTGCTGCTGTTGTGCAGCACTTTGTTGAGCAGCTAGAGGGTGATGCATGCTTTGTTGTTGCTGCTGCTGCTGCTGCTGTTGCTGTTGTTGTTGTTGTTGTTGTTG